GGCCTAACCGCGGCCTTCTCGGGCCCGCTTGGCGTCGTGGGCCTCGCTGTTAGGCCCAGCGCCTATGGGCGCCTTGCGGGCCGCCGACCAGGCCGGGACCAGGCCGCTGCACTCACCCTAGGCCCCGCGGCCGCGGCGGCACCCAGAACTCACCAAACCCGGATACCGTTGGTCGGCGTCAGCGGCGACTACAGCAGGCCGGGCTTTCTCTGGAGCACTGGGCCGAATTTCGGCTGGTAGGGCGGGAGGAGGAAGGAGGGGCCGAGTTTAAAGCTGACAAAAAAACGGCCCAGCTTCCCGGCACGGACCTGCCGTCAGCACGTCACGTCACCGCCGGGGACATAGACCTAGGAAAATGCGGAAGGGTAGATGGGCCCCTTCCGCCTAGCGAGTTCTAGGGCACCTCTAGGGTCTCGCGACTCCGAGCCCAGTGGCCTAGCTGCGACGGAGTTTCCGGCTGCTGGAATCTTTGTCAGAAAGTTCTTTCCTTCTCTTCGGAGTTCCCGCACCTGCCTTATGGGCCCCACAGCTGCTGCCTTGGCATAAAACCCTCGCAGGTCCGACCCTGCACGGCTGCCCCCCATCATCTTCCGTGGGCCACGACCGGCACCCCGGGCCCTCCCCGGAGACCCAAGGCTCCCTTCCTGGCTGAGGCGCCTGCTTCAGTTGTTCACAGGCCCTGACTCCGCTGCCTACACTAAATGTTTTCCTTCATCCACCGGCTGGAATTGAAGATAAATTTAGCAACACCTGCAGGTCCCTTTCCAAAGAAAAAAAAATTATGTATGATTATATGTATATATACGAAATAAAATGAAAGAGGCTTGCTAGTCAAAACAGATACGTGAGCAAGAGGAGGGATCTTAGAGGAACTACCACACCAGGCGATTCTAATACTCCATTTGGAGTATGTCTCCATCTTTGAAGAAATACAGGAGAAAATCCCTGCGTCTTCTGAGAAGTATTATAAAGATATTTACAGAAGGTGCATTTTATTACATTGTTTACATAGTAGGTGTTTTATTTAGTAATCATTACTGTGCTAAAAACTGATTCACCTCTGTATTGTATACATCTTCCTAGGTATGTTCAGAACCTTGGCTCCAGCTTTAAACAATTCTAGGCGAATTGAAACAAAAACTACACTCTTCTACACAGTCTTTGCTATGAGCTTGTACAAATGTATTGAGTTCATGTTATGACATGAACGAATTGATGCATTAACTATCGAACATATTCAAATAAATCTATGATAGTACATATGTGAATTACTCTGTAAAATACTCATATCTTCTGTTGAGTATTATCATGTAAAGCAATTTCCTGAAGAGCATTTTTGAGCACATTACATAGTTTGCCTTTTCATGTACTAGATACAGTTTGTGCTAAATCTGTGTTTCCAAATACTCTATGTATATAATATTCTAAGACTGTACATAAACGTTGCTGGAGGTTTAAACAACGTAAAACTCACTTAAACACTAAAACTAGACTTTTCTCAATAGACTTTGGAAGTAGCATTATAAATTTATTAATTTTGGGTTATTTCACAGACTAATTTATACATTACACCTCTGGAGAATGTTTCAAACTTTGAAGTAATACACAGGTGAATTACTGTATACAGTGCTCATATCTTCTGTGAAGTATTTTAATGTCAGAGAACCAAACTATTTGAATATGAAAAACAACTACACTTTAAGGGTGCTTTCACACATTTCACTGTAAAAAAATTTTGATGTATAGTTATATTCTATGTAGCTTGTGTTTCAGGATTTGGGAGCCTATGAAATGTGTCATGTAATTGTTTCATAAATAGTTAATTTTTATATTCCATATTTAATGTAGACAGAATTGGGTATGGATGTGTGTGTCTGTGTGTCTTTAACAACTGCTTAAGTACTTAAAATTTAAAGATACTTCAGACAGAAAGGGAAAAATATATTTGATTAAGCAGACATTTATAAACTACAAAAAGAAGTATTTTGCATTTTCAATACTTTACATTTCTATGGTATCTTTTCATAATAACACTGGTGAGAAAACAAAATGTAGAGGCCAGGTTTTGCCTTTTTTGGTTTTTTATGTATTAGGTATGACAGGGGTTCAAGGTCTGAGCAGTTCTAAATATCATTACTAAATGCTATTCTGGCTAAATGTTAAAATGTAGCATAGTATTTTGCAGACCCAGAAGTCTAGAAACAGAATGAGCCTGGCAGGAATCCAACCTCAAAGTATAGCCAACTGCAAAGAAGAAAATAACATACAATTGACCAAATAGTGTGTGTAAGCAATGGCTAAGCCTTCCTTCAGGGACACTAAGCTTTGGATGTGAACCCCTCATCTTCTTAACTTGCTGGAGTGAAAAAACTACCTAGCTGACAACCATATCACATTGAATACCCCACCCAGGGAACACCGTGAGTTCAATAAGTAACTTGTATTCTCAAAACTCCCATAGTTCATCTTGTTCTCCCCTTATATATATAAATCATGAAATTCCTTAGAAAAGGGGGAAAAGGTACAGTTAGAAGAAACATCATAAAGTTCTGGATATTCCTTACAAGTTCCTCATAAGACCTTAGCTTTGATTTATTTTCTTAAAGTGATTAAATTTTGTTTAAAAAATTACAAAAGACAGCAGCATGTGTTTTTTGTTTACATAAAATTATAATGGGCTATGATAGACTGTATTCCACAGAAAGATAAATAAAACAAATGCTAGCTCAATTTGAAGTATAATTAACATAATTTCAAAGCAATAACCACTGTTTAAACATTTTCCAAAGGCCTCCATTTAATGTTACAATATTTTAAGAACAGGGCCTCATCCATTCAACTGTAAGCACCATGGTAGGAACACAAAAACAATGTTGATATTATTGTTATATCTTCCATAATTATAAAAAAAACACTAGTTAAGACCATTAGTAAACAGCACTTAAGAAGAGTGGCCATGCAGCATAAAAGAAAAAGATGTTTCCTGATTTGAAAGGTCAGAAGTAGTTCAGAGTAATATTTTTAAAAATAGCATTTTGACATTATTTTTCATATGTAAAAGACTAAATTTTGACAGGAAATGGAAGAAATGGCCTAATTATATTCATTAGATAAACTTTTTTATTAAACTCAAACAATTCTGTAGATAAGTCAACTGTATTAATTTTTTTTGGAAAGTCATTTGTATTTCAAATGCAGTTATGGATGGTAATAAAGAAATAACAGTATATGATAAATCATTTAACCAGAAATAATTACTAATGGAATATTCATGATAAAATTCAGAAACAAAGTATGAACAGCAGATATCAAATTGTTTGATGTTATAAAATATAATTTATGAAAGTACAGTAGTTAAAATAAGACTTTCAGTACACCTAAATTTACTGAAAGCTCTGGGTAATTAGATATCCTATATCTTGCATTTAAGGAACCTACATAATAGGTTGTGTTGAAATTATTCATTATTTTATCATTAGAGGGGTGTATAAAATTCTAGACACAGAGGGTAACCAAGATGTTCTTGATGCTTGCTCTTGGGGAACTTAATATAAGGCAGAGTAAAAACCTTCTAGCACTTTCATTTTCTCAGAGAAACACAAAAAAGTAACAGATGAGAGCAGAATATTTCAAAAACATATTACATGAATACAAAATACTTGCTTTCAAAGTAGTCAAAGGAATTTTTACTACAATTATTAAGGAAGGGTTCAGGCTATAATATAAATCAAAAAGTATTTCTTTAGCCCAGCCAGGCATGGCTCAGTTGTTAAGCATTGACCTAGGACCCAGGAGATCAAGGTTTGATTCCCAGTCAGGGCACATGCCCTGGTCAGGGGCTTGGTCCCCAGTCAGGGGCATGCTGGAGGCAGCTGATTGGTGACAACTCTCTCATCATTGGTGTTTCTCTCTCTCTCTCTCTCCCTCTCCCTCCCTTTCTCTAAAGTCAATAAAGATTTTTTTTTTTTAAAGTATTTCTTTAAACAAAAGAATTTGCAACCCAAGAGACAAAGATAGCAATTCATCTGCTTTCTGGTGAGAATAAAGGCAAAAACACAAATGGCAATTCTTTCATTCAAAAGAAGGATTCTGGCTAGGTTAACAGGAATTGGTGTAAACAAGGGGCGACAAAATAAGACAAAGTCCATAAATGTCCAGAAAGGGCTCGGCCTTGAGTCAAGTTTAGCAACAGTTTAGCAACTTAATAGCTGTGCTGAGAACTGC